GATCTCGGCGTAAGGTTGTTAAAGTTAATAGTTTGAAGGCCACCCTCAGGCCCTAGACCATAGGCCGCAGCTGAGGGGTGTAAGGTTGAATGCTTAAAGCACTTCATGGGTAATACCGTAAGTGTTTGATTTAGGCATTCAGGTTCTTTAGAGTTTAGGTTTAGCGTTCAGGGTTTAGAGTTTAGGGTTTAGGGTTGAGGGTTTAAGGTTTAGGGTTAGGTTCTGTGGATGTGTGAGCAGAGCTTGGCTATGTTTCCCACAGCTGCCACACGACAAGCAGGTTCTGCGAGAGTTTGCCGTGAAGCGTAAGCCGGAACCCGACAAGTACTTGATTTGAACACCTCTAACCCTAAACCCTAAAAACCCAATCACCGAGCCTTGAAGCTGAGCCCGACATGAAGTTTTGGAAAGCCTTTCAAGAAGCAAACATCTTACTTCGAACATCCCCACCCTTTGCCTCGTCGCCTTGTCGCCTGTGCGTGCCAAGAGAGATATTCTGAGGTTGGGCACTCCCGGGACACTCTGGGGCTGGGCACTCCGGGGACAATTTTGGGTTGGGCACTCCAGAAAGACTCTGGCATTGACTGGCGTGGACTTTGAGGCTGGGCACTCCGGGGACACTCTGGGGTTGGGCACTCCAGGGAGACTCTGGGGTTGGGCCTCTGCGAAGGGAGACTCTGGAGTTGGGCACTCCAGCAAAATTTGAGTTGGGCACAGAAAGACTCTGGGGCTGGGCACTCCGACTCTGGGGTTGGGCACTCCAGGAACACTTTGGGGTCAGGCACTCCACTCTGGCGTTGGGCACTCCCAGGGGCACTCTAGAGTTGGGCACTCCAGGGACATTTGGGGTCAGGCACTCCAGGGACGAGCGAGGAGTAGACCGGGCGAGGAGAAGAGTTCCGGGCGAGGAGAAGAGTTGAGTTTAAAATCTAACAACCCCACACCGAGGGTGGGGAACAACAACACAACGAAAGCCTGAACCTGAAGCCCTGAATCAGAAATCCTCAGCAAGGCGCTTGCTCCCAATTTTCCTGGCATCCCGCCATGACCTCGGAGGAGGTTTGAGAGTTTAGACTTAGGGCTTAGGAGGGTTTGGAGCGTTGATTGATCTTCCCAGCTTCAAGCTCCTTCTTAATCCTACCCCCCTCACCTCCCCAAAACTTCACCCAACACCCTAAACCCTAAACTTAAACCCTAAACCCTAAACCCTAAACCCTAAACCCTAAACCCTAAACCCTAAACCCTAAACTTAAACCCTTAAGCCTTGCGCCCAGAAGTCTCCAGGCCTCGACATGGCAGACTCTTGTTTGTGCCATTGCCGGGTGCGGCAACAAAGCACTATGGGAGGTTTGGGGTTTGTTTTTTTTTTGGGTTTGGTGTTTAGGGTTTCTAGGGTTTTGGGTTTTGGGTTTAGGGGAATGCTAGAAAACAGCAAATGTAGGAATACTCAGGACCTAGGTTCCTCTGCTTATACTACATGGCTGCAATCTTTTGCTTTTGCATCTTCTTGCTGTTCCCATATTCCTTTACAAATGTTTGGGGAGGTGGGTGTTGTTCCAATGTTGCCCTCAAAGAGATGGACCGTGGCCCTTAAAGGGTAAATCCTTACCACCAAGGCAAGATTCCTTACATCCACTAGAATGTCACTACAATGACGACCCCATGATTCCCGCTTCTGAACCAAACCCTGAAGCCTGAATCCCATATCCTAGCACGAAGGGCTGCGTCTGCGTTTGAGGCCTGGCTTCCCGCCCGGCTTCATGAGCCTTGGCCGGGAGGGTTTAGGGTGCAGGGTTTAGGGTCTAGGGTTTAGGGTTTAGGTTTTGGGGTTTAGGGTGTAGGGCTTTGGGTTTGGGGTTCAGGGTGGGGGAAGTCGAGTTGAGGCTTTAGTGGTTTCGGGGGGTCTTGGGACGAGGGTTTGGGTTTTAGGGTTTATGGTTCATGGTTTTTAGGGTTCAGAGTTAAGGGTTTGGGGTCCAGGTGTTTTGGGTTGTTGGGGTTTGAGGGCTCTTAGGGTTCATCGTTTAAGGCTTTTAGGGCTCAGAGCGTAGGGCTGTAGGGTTCAGAGTTTAGGTCTCCTGATGCCCACTGCAACTGTGGCTCTGGAGAAGCAGTCTCAATTCAATCTACGGTGCCCAGACGCCTGCAAACCCAAAGCCCTAGAAACCCTAGGCCGCAATCCCTAAACCCGAAACCCGAAACCCTAAACCTTACCCGAAAGTCCATGCACCATATTATCAACTACTTGGGCACAAAAGTCCCTACATAAGACGTACTTTATGGCCCAAGTATGCCCTATTTTTCGGTACACGGCGCTTGGGGTTAAGCCCGAAGTCCTGTTAACACCAAGGCCCAGCTTTCCCCCTGGATTTCCTCCCGGCTTTCCCCCGATGTTGGGGCCAAGCCACTTGGCCGTTTTCCCAAATTAGGGTTTAGGGTACCTTTTTGGGGTTTCGGGTTTGGGGTTCAGGGGTACCTTGTTGGGGTTCTGTTTTATAAGGGGAGCCTACTTTTTGGGGGGCTATATTAGGGTCCCCTGTTTTCGTAAACTGCCATTTGGGGCCTTCAGTTTGGAGCGTTTAAGGGGCAGCTTTCTAGGGATGTTTCTAAGGGTTTGGTAGAATTTGTCTGCGGTAGGGTGCTAACGGTTAGGTAGAGGGTTGTGGTCCTGAGGGAATGTTCTGTACTTGGGGCTTTGGTGCCTAGGCTCGGATATTTTTTGTTTTTTTGCATACAGGGTTTCAGGCTTAAGGCTAACTCCTGTAGCCCTAAGATCCTCAGCCCTAAACCCTATAGACCCTGGGATGCTTAAGGCTGCAAGATGGCTTGGGAGGCTGTTTGTGGTGGGGGGGGGGGGGGGTATGAATGATTCACATCTTCCTTTGTACTTGGCAATGCCCTAAACCCTAAACCCGAAGCCCGCAAAGTTTGGAGATCCTAAGCTCCAAGCGTCTCAGGTTTTGGGCCTAGGGGGTTTAAGGCGTATAAGGAAAAGAAAAGGCTCAAGGTCTGAAAACCAAGCTTGTGATCTCTCAGCTTTTCCGATCGACCCTAAGCTGCTGATGCTGAGCGTTTAGGGCTCATACGGGTTTAGGGCTTAAGGTTCAGGACTTCGGGGTTGGCGTTTCAAAAGCTCCGGCACTCCTTAAGCACGCCCCCTGCCTCCTGCAAGAGGCAGCCCTCTTCGGCCAGCACCATTTCTACAAGGCGCCAGCCTACACACACCAAGTTTGCTTTGGGTACCTGACATACCTGAGGTGTTGGCCGCGCACCCCGACACCCGCAGACCCCGAAACAACGACAAGCGCAACCCCACAACCCCAAGCACAACCCAATCCCTAAACCCCCAAGCCCCCGAAACCCACAGAACCCCCAATCTCTCCTAGGTCCCTATTCCAAGCCCTAAACCCCTATAGACTCTAAACCCTATACACCCTAAACCCTCAACTCCCACACATACGTAGGCGCGCACCCCTTTGGAGAGGTTTGGCTGGGGAGCCTCAGGCGCCCAACGCGCCCTTGACTTGGCACGGCAGGGTTTAGGGTTTATAGGGTATAGGGTTTAGGGTTTAGGGTTCAGGGTTTAGGGTTTAGGGTTTAGGGTTTAGGGTTTAGGGTTTGGGGTTTGGGGTTTGGGGTTTACGGTTTGGGGTTTAGGGTTCAGGGAGGGTTTGGGGGGCTTGTGGTTTAGGCCCATCGGGTTCATGAGGAGTCTGAACCCCGGTGATCCTGCAGAACCTTTAAGTTCTCTGAGAGTCCCGATCCCGTCTGAAGCCCCGAACACACTCAAGCCCTGAACCTTGCAGCCGACATCCCCAAGCCGCACCACCGCATCACAAGGCACCACTGCAACACCCTAAGCCCTAAACCCTAAACCCTAAACCCTAAACCCTAAACCCTAAACCCTAAACCCTGAAGGACCGAACACCCCAACGAAACCCCGCACCCTACATCCGAAAGTCCGACACCGTAAAGTAAGCCTAGATCCATGTGCTTATAAGCCCTAAACTTGCCCTCGCCCGAAACTCCAGAACCGCAAGCCCCAATCTCCAGAAAACTAGATCCTAGAAATTCCTAAGCTCTACATCCTCAACAGCCCGAAAAGCCCCAAACTAACCCCCCTACGAGCACCGAAAGCGCCGTTCCCCCAAGGTCAGATGTGCAGGTGCACCTGGGACCAGGAGGTGCGCCCGTCAGCTGCCATTCCCCCTGACGGGCGCGGTGTTTGGTGGGGGGGGGGGGGGGGGGGCGTGAGGGGAATATAGGGGCCTTAATGATTTTCAACAGGGTTTTTGGATTTCTTACTTTGTCATGTCTGTCAGGACTTCCTTTAGAACGAGTCGACCTGCTCTACAACAACCTCCCCATGTCTTCAGGCCAGCCAACTTCGGCCGCATGCGCCGCAGCTTCCGGGAGGCACGGTGACATCGGGCAGCGCTCATGCGGGCGCGGCCCGCAACTCGATCCCTGCGCCCCAAAACCTTGCAGCCTGCAAGGCCTAAACCCGAAACCCAAAAAGCCTCTTGGCGTTCCGTAAACTCTAAACCCTGAACCCTGAACCCTGAACCCTAAACCCTAAACCCTAAACCCCAAACTCTAAACCCCCAATAGGCCCTAAACCCTACACCCGAAGAGCTCCTAGAGTTCAGGAAGCGGCTGCCGCTCCTCCGCGACCATTGCTGTATCCTCAAGCTCCGTCAACTCCGAACCATGAACACTCAACCCTGAGCCCTAAACCCTGAACCCTTAAACCCTCAACCAAAGCCACGGCGGTCGTCACAGCTAGGTCAGCAGATGAAGAATGAATATAGCTATACGATAATGGAGACATTGCGCGACCTTTTTGGTGCCCCAACCACCTGACCGTATAACCGAAACTCCAGACCCCGAGCCACCCACCCTAAGAGAAAGAGAAGCTGTCACAACAACCCTAAACCCTCATCCCTAAACCCTAAACCCTAAACCCTAAACCCTAAACCCTAAACAGCCGAAGTGAAGCCATGGATCCACAACGGCGCCGCCGTCGGGCTCTATGGCGCCTGCCATATCTGGCGCCTCGGCAAGGTTTCGGGAAGTGGTTTAGGGTTTAGGGTTTAGGGTTTAGAGTTTAGGGTTTAGGGTTTAGGGTTACTTCGTGTGCGGAGGATTTTGCGGGTTTAGGGTTTAGGGATTTAGGGTTTAGGGATTTAGGGATGTAGGGATTTAGGGATGTAGGGGTTTAGGGATTTAGGGCATTTAGGGTTAGGGGTGAGGACCGGCTGTAGTGCTCCACGACGGCATCCTATACCAACTCCAACAGGGCTAATAAGGTTCCAGGCTTTTCCTGGGGAAGTAAAATTTCCTTTGTTGGCCTGAGGAAGATCATACTCAGAATATTTCTTAGAGGTTTGAGTGCTTAACCTAGGGGCGGCGCGCCGAGGCTTTGAGGGTCGGTTGTCACGGGCATGTCGAGATTCCGAAGCTTGTCGTTGTGTTGAGAGGGTCCATAGTTGGTTTCAGCGAATTACCCCCCAAAACATTTTGCAAGTATACCTATAAGCCTGTCGGATACCCACATGTAGGTTGGTGTTGATATTCGACCCTAAGGGTCCATGTACCTAAATGGGGAATACTTGGGCCTTAAAGTACCTCCTATTTAGGGACTTTTGGGGCCAAGCATATAATATAGTATTATGGTACATGGACCCTTTGGGAGAGGAGAGGGTGCCTCGAGTTCGAAGGCTAAGTTGATTGCGCGGCCCCCGCGGCTTCCTGGCGTCACCGATTTGCTGCCCCACGACCCACGGTTCTGCATGGGAGACCTGCCATGCGGGGTGCGCTACGTCTGGGCCTCTGCGGGATGGTGGTTTAGGGCTTTTAGGCTCTGGGTTTAGGGAGTTTTTAGGGTTTTACAGTAGGATTTTTAGGGTTTTCAGGGTTTTTAGCCTTGTGGGTGTAGGGCTTCAGGGATAATAGCGCTTCATGGTTTCACAGCTTAGGAGTTCAAGGTTTGGATGTGTCCAGGATTCATGGCTTTGCGTTTTCAAGCCCTACAAGCCCTAAGCCTGAAACCCTATGCCCTAGCCTCCAAGACCCTAAACCCTAAACTCCCAAACCCTATAAGCTCTAAACTGCTAAACCTCCTATATGCCTAAGCCCTAAGCAAAGCTCTTCAACCTGACAGAACCCAAACTCAGACTCCCTCCCCCCTTCACCCTAAGAATCTTAGAATTTGAGCCCTCAACCCTAAACCCTAAATCCTAAATCCTCAACTCCCTAAACCTCAAGCTGAAGGTCCACCAACATGTTCATTACTTCAGACCTTAGATTCTTGGGGCACCCATTTGGGAGGAGGATTTGGGTGACCCCGATGTTAAAACCCTGAACCCTGAACTCTGAACTCTGAACCCTAAACCCTACACCCTACACCCTAAACCCTAAACCCTAAACCCTAAACCCTAAACCCTAAACCCTAAACCCTAAACCCATCCTTTTGAGGTCATCTACACGAACCGGAAGCCCCGGGCTCGAGCCCTGCTCCGCTTGGTGGTTCGAATCGGAAGTCTGGCAGAAGATGAGGACAAGGGTTTAGGGTTTAGGGTTCAGGGTTCAGGGTTCAGGGTTCAGGGTTCAGGGTTCAGGGTTTAGGGTTTAGGGTTTAGGGTTCCGGCTTCAGGCTTCGGGGTTCGGGGTTCAGGGTTCAGGGTTGCGGGTTTAGGGTGTCGGGCTCCCTATGAACCCTAAACCAGGGTTTTCATTATTCAGGAAGCCCGAGCGGGATCATATTCGGCTAGTTGGATGCTACCAGACGGGGCTCGGGGTCTTTGATTGGCTTTATTGGGGGGGGGGGGGGATTTCGGGTGTAGGTTCCAAAGCTTAGGCCTTCGGGTTTCTCAGTTGTCTATTTCATTTTGTTTTCTTGTGCGTTGTTCGCGAGGGTTCGCAGGAACTTGAACAGGGTTTAGGGTGCATATACTATAGGCTTGACAGGGCTTCAACAGGTTTTTGGGGTCTGTGGGCTTGTGTCTATGTATGCTGGATAAGCCCTAAACCCCAAATCCCAAAAATCTAAACTTGGTGTTTCTGGCTTCTTGCTTCTACCCTACACCTTGAATCCTAAACCGAACCCTAAGCAGGTTGGGAGCTCTGGGTTGATCTACAGAGGATCGAATGATCGAACTTTTGGAGCGCCTCTTTGAAAGTTTGTGTAGGGCTCAGGGTTTGGGTTTAGGGCTTGGGGTTGAGGATTATTTAGGGCTTCGGGTTTGGGGCTTTGTGTTTAGGATTTCGGGAGTCAAGGTTCAGGGTTTAGGGATGAGGGAACTTTGCACCCCTACCTTCTCTGGGACTCTATTTGACTACTACAATAAGCCCTATAGAATAATGCTTTATGGGTTCTACCTACGAAGTCCGATTCTAACAAACAACTTCAGCCTTAGAGCATCTTGTAGCCCTAAAACCTAAACCCTAAACCCTGAAAACCCTAACAAACCCTAACGCACCCTTAACAAAACCTAAAAAACCCTTAAAAAAAAAGAACTAAAAACCCGAAAAACCCTAAACCCCTAAATACCCTAAAAACCCTAGAGAAACCCAAAAAAAACCTTAAAAAAACTCTAAACAACCCTAAAAACCCTAAACCCCAAGCCAGGATCAGCTTGGCATCGCCCACCTGATCGAGCACATGGTGTTCCGGGGGACGCCCAGCTTCCCGGCCAACGCGGGAGGCTCAGCTCGAGGGTTTAGGGTTTAGGGTTTAGGGTTTAGGGTTTAGGGTTCATAGGGTTCATAGGGTTCATAGGGTTCATAGGGTTCATAGGGTTCATAGGGTTCATAGGGTTCATAGGGTTCATTAGGGTTCATAGGGCTCGTAGGGTTCAGGGTTTAGGGTAGGGGGGGAAGGGTTCATAGGACTTAGGGTTCAGGGTTCTTAGGGTTGAGGGGTCTTTCTGTGTTTTTGGCGGCTGAACGTCATCCTCAGGTTGGGATGTTCCTCCTTATACTCAGCAGTCCGTAATAGGGATTCTTATAATCCCCATTAAGGACTGTTAGTATAAGGGGGAACTATAAGGGGGTACTATAAAATTAATGCCTAATACTGTTGGTATAAGGGGGAACATCCCAAACCTCAGCTAGCGTGTGGCTTGACAGGTCTTAACTGTTCAGCCTGCCTGTTTGCCGTAAACCCTGCTGAGCCCAGAACCCTGAACAGTGACGAGAGGGGCAGATGCTGGGTTTGGCGATCAGGGTTCCTGTGTTCAGGGTTCGGAAATAGTTTTTTGTTTTTGCACTTTCATTAACCTCCTAATTGTGGGTTCTTGTGGAGGCGTGGCTGGAGGAAGGAAGGGTGCTTGGAGCAATTGATCAGTAGCCAACTCCGCAGCGTTGTCTTGCTCAGGCCAGTTCAGCGCTGCCGCCCGAGATTCGCATAGCTGCCATGGCTTTTTGGACCAAGAGCTTTTGGAACAAAGACCAACCCAAAGTCAACCCAGATGCCGCCTCAGCGAAAAGCGTTGCAGCACCTGGCTCGGCCGGGGAGTTATGGAAAGACCTTTGCAAGTTGTATGCCAAGGGAGCGGTGGCCGCGGCCGCTGGAGCAGTGTCGAGTGGCCCATCAGGAGCGGCAGTGGGGTTTGAAGCAGCAGTGGGCAGTGAGCTCGAAAACAAGTCCAACAAGCGGGACTGGAAGTGAGCAAAAGCCAAAAGAGCTACATGAAGGAGGGCAGCAGGCAAGGCAGCGTCATGCAGCCACCTCCTGATGTAAAGGCAAGCTGCTGACGGTTGGTTGTTGCCCGAGCGACTACGTATGCATGTTTGCCAGACTAGTTCCCATCCCAACTGGCAATGTACAGGTGCTTACGGAAGTCGCAAGCAACAGAGCTCCGAATCCGAACGCTTTTGTAAAGACTTTCAACATGGATTAAAATGCGTTCTGGAGCTTCGGGCGTCAGGCTGCGGCTTCAGGGGACACTTGGATTCCCTCCCAACCCCCACAGACCTTATAACATCTATCCCCGACCCCTAACCCCTAAACCCTAAACCCTAAAGCCGAAAGAGGTTCAAAAGACGACTCTACCAACTCTCAGAAGCGTAAACCCTGAACAACCCTGAACCCCACACCCTGGCGGCTAGAATAGCGAACGGAGTGCGCCTTTCCTTGGTTCCCTTCTAACGTGTATAGCCAACCTCATATGGGTACCCTCATTCCAGCCTGCCTATTGGGCTACCAAGTCCCTAAACCCGAAACCCTAAACTCCTAAACCCTAAACCCCTTAGTCCCTAAACCCCTAAGTCCCTAAGTCCCTAGACCCCTAAACCCCTAAACCCCTAAACCCCTAAACCCCTAAACCCCTAAACCCCTAAACCCCTAAACCCCTAAAACTAAACCCCTGAACCCCTGAACCCCTAAACCCCTGAAACTAAACCCCTGAACCCCTGAACCCCTAAACCCATCTCCGACCCGAGGACCTCAAGCGGTTTCTGGAGAGCTGTGGACTTTCATGGGGCGCCGACCTCAATGCCGAAACCGGCATGGAGCACCTTTGTCATTTGTTGGTCTCAGTGGGCCAAAATACCCCCCAAACTTGGGATGTTGCTCCTACTTATACTAAAAGTCCTCATCAGGGAGTGTAGTAATAGGGGGGGGGGGGGGGTACTAGAATCCCGATTAAGGACTGTGAGTATAAGGACATCCCAACCCTAAGCCCCTAAACACCGAAATCTTCGACTTCAAAGCTTTAAAGCCCTAATCCCAAGACCCTGAACCCGCCGGAATTTTGGGGCTTAGGGCTTTAGAGGTTTGGTGTGTAGGGTTTGGGGTTTGGGGTTTAGGGGTTAGGGGTTTAGGGTTTAGGGTTTAGGGTTTAGGGTTTAGGGTGTTTAGCGTTGAAAAATGTTGAAAAGCATAGCAACTTCAACAAGCGCGAGGCACACCACCTATTCGCTGGACATTCCGCTGAAAAAGAACTCCACAGACCTGTTGGCCAAAGGTCTGCTGATCTTGAAGGACGACCTCACAGGATAGAGCTTCCTCGTATGGCGATTTAGGGTTTAGGGAAGGGCTTCTGGAGATAACGGCGCTTGATGTGGGATAAGCAGAAGCCGCAGTTGCTTCTTTGGAGTTGGTTGATGGCAGAATGCATGGACCCCAGAGACGGTTCAGAGTCACAGGCTTTAGGACTTTGCCCCTCCAAACCCTAAAAACCCTCAAGCCCTGTAGAGCCCAAAGTCCAGCAACCCCAACTACCCGCAACCGTTGAGGCCGTGATTGAACCTTAAGCCCCAAAGCCCTAGATCCCAGAAGCTGCTTGGGTTGCAAGGGATGGCAAACTCCTCCAGGAGTTCGCCTTCGACGCGCTCCTCCGCTCGGAGGACATTCAGAAGGAGAAAGCGGCTCCTGGACTCAGCCATTTTGAGGTTGAGGGGTTTAGGGTTTAGGGTTTAGGGTTTAGGGTTTAGGGTTTAGGGTTTAGGGTTTAGGGCCTCGGGTTCAGGGCTTAGGTTTTCAGGGGGTTTTGGGGGGTTTCGGGGCTGGGTTGAGGGTTCGACTGAGAAGGGAAGTTCCTAGGAGTTTCTCGAGGGTGCGGGAGATCTATAGAGGTATATTAAAGGTACATAAGGGGTACAGATAGGGTTTACGGTTTAGGGTTTAGGGTTTAGGGTTTTAGGGATCCCCCAAATAAGGGCCCTTATGAAGAGGACCGCAGGATGGTTTCAGAATCGCAGATTCGGCTTCGGGTGGCTTGTTGAGCGGTCCGGTTGCTAAGCCTTAGCCTTTCTTTTTCGTAGGTAGCCTAAGAATCCGATAAGGAGCCTATAAGAAAGGTTAGGGTTGGGGTTTGTTAAGGGCATGGTTAGGGCTTCGATCTAAAACATCTGGGGCTGTAGGGCCCCTAAACCCTAAGCCCTAGACCCTAAACCCTAAGCCCTAAACCCTAAACCCTAAACCCTATACGGGGGGACAACCAAGGAAGGAAATCAACTCCCCTAATCGCCCTGAACTTATATTTCCCAGATCGAACCAAGAAACAACCAAGAACACGGATAAGAGCAACCCAGGGGGAAAGGAAAGGGGGAAGGAATCCACACCCTTACCAAACCCTAAAAACCCAGGCACTACTTTTTGAACTTGTGGCTTTCTGTTCAAGCCCATCTTGAGCCAAACATGGTTTACGGGTTCATTAACCCTTTCAACTTCCAACACTAACTCCTTTCTACAATACCAATTGCAGCTCCGCACTCCCCCTGTCCTAGGATTTCCTAGGACACATTGGAGATGCAGGTCTTTTGGCCAAAAACTGCCATTAAGGCAGCAGCCAGCTGCTTGAAATGCAAGTTGTGGTTTAACGTCTTCCAGGACGGAATTATAGCACATTGGCTAACCTACTACCCATAGAGAATCTCTTTTCACCATGATCCTCTCATCACTGAAGACTCCTTGGCCTTCTTCACCACAAACCGTGGTCTTCGCTACGCGAAAAGCTACTGACTTCTACTATCAGGGATTTCCATACCCTTAATAGTAACCACCACATTGTCAGCACATTGGCTGTTCCAGCGCACCCGTCTCCAGAAAGAGAAAAACTATCCCTTCATCCATACCATCCAATCACTTCTTTTTCCGATTGTTGGCAATCTTGAGGTGAAGTTGCAGCAGAATATACTCCAGGTCCGAAACTGTAAGAACAGGATCCTGTACGCCCCTTTGAATTGAGGATACCAATCCTTCTCTCTTTGCGTCCTCAATCGCCTGGCAAGATTGACCCAGCTCTTCATTCGCAGTGGCAGACCCTGGTGCATCCGCATCAGATGGACGATCCTTTTCCTCAGGATCTTGCACCATTACCACCTCTTCTTTTTTGGGACTCTGACTTTTCTCCCTCTTCTTTGTCTTTCCACCGACATTTGACTTTGTGCGCGTCTTCGAGGATTTTTCCACTGCAGAAGCCACCACATTGGATGTTGATCCACCCTTCTCAATGATCGTCGGCATCTTCTTCGGCTTTGGAACCATGAGAGTGTAAGGATCTTCGATAGCTGCAGCTTTCCTCTTCTTTTTTACCTTTTTCTTCTCTTCTTCAACGGCAACCTCCGTCTCCGAAGTCTCAACCACTCCTTTTTCGGCAGGAATATCCTTGCTGGACTCCCTTTCTAGGGATCTCTTTTTACCTCTTTTGGGATCCTTTTCCTCTCCCAAATTGGCTCGCTCATACCATATCCTCAGGTCATTGACCCATTCTTCCACCTCCGCGAGCGAAACCTCATACGACTTCACTACTTCGAGAAGTTCCAGCACGGTCAACATTTCAGTGGTCCACGAAACCCATACTTGATCCATTTGGTCAGCATCTCCAGTGAACTTCAGGAGTTTGAACAATGGGTCCGCCTCTGCTCGAGCCAAATCTGGCTTGCCACCGGAGAGAAATGAAATCGCCTCCATCAACAGTTCCGTCATCTTGGTCTCTTCGTCATAAACCATAAAATCCTCCTCATCATCATCGAACTGTTCAGGAGAGATCTCCTTTTCTCCACCATTTGCACCAGACTTTCTCCTTGGACCATCCCTTGGGGGCGTCCTTGGAGACCTTGGCCTCTGTTCTTCCAACGGAACACCATGCTCGAAGACACACCTGTCACCAAATCGACACTTCCCAGACCGAGCAAACTGGACGCACCTCACACCAGTTGCATCATGCGAGAACCCACAATCCTTTCCAGCGAAACATTCTCTCCCTGCCACATAGTATTTGCACCAATATGAATGTAGCACCACATCATCTTCGGAATGGATGAATTTGCAGTCGTCACCGAATTTGCAGCGATCTTTCCCCTTGCCGAACCAATAGCAGAAACCCTTCTTCCTCTTCTCCAAGCGCTCTGCCTCATACCGGTCCATAGGGCGATTGTGCTCTACATGAACATTGCCATGCACCTGGGGACTGCTCCCTTCACCCGACGTGCTATCAGTATTTGGTGCTTGGAGTACAGCTGGAAAACCTGGCCTTGGTCCTACCGCCTTCATGATCGGTTTTCCGCCCACTCCTGAGCCATGCTGAGACGATCCAAAAACATTGAACATCTTCATGAAGGCCTTTCTAGTGCCAATCTTCTGCACCCTTTTGATTGGACGTTTCATTGCTCCAACCTTGCATCCAGATGCGTTCAAACGACACAACCTCCTATAACCAACTCTATGTCCCTTCTTCCAAAGAGCCATAAGAATTTTAGAGGCAGTAACATTCTCCACCTCTACCTTTTCCAATGGTCCCTCACTTCCCGGAACAAACCCATCCATATCTGAAGACCTTTCCATCTTTTTTGACACCACTTCGTCGAGGTAGTCTTCCGAGATCCAGGGTAAGTTCCCCTTAGAGGAAGGATTGTCATCATTGTTTGGTCCTTCACCAGGATACCCTTTTGTGCTGTCAAAGATCTTACCAGTAGTGCGGTCCTGCATAGAGAAATTCGAAGCCACGCGGGAGTACACTGACCACAAGAAAATCCTTGTGTCCGCCAGTCTTGATGACCCACTGGATGTCTCCTCTTCCGGAGAAACTTCTGGTGCTTTGCCATCCCCTCCAGTGTCACCACTTGTCTCACCTCCAGCATCTTCAATGGGAATAAGGGATTCATTGTTCCCTTGATCAAGCACCGCACCCTCTGGTCCAAGAACTTCCAGCACCGCTGTCGAAGGATCCACCTCTTCATCAGCATCGTCGTCCATCCTTCTCCAGAGAGCCTCCAATTGGTCCGCACAAGTCGCCGCTTGAAGGAACTCCATCAACCGAGCCCTCCCGCGCTGCCAGAGAAATTCCGAAACCATCACCGACCCTTGGGCTCCCAGATTCAGGAATGGGTGAACCATTTTGGCTACCCTCGCCATAAGTTCAATATGAACTTCCATGCCTGGACTGCGGCTCCAATCATAGGCAATTGCCTCCATAGCAGTTCCAAACTTGTCAGTATTCTTGAATTCCCCTTCCAGACCAGGAGACAACAAGGCACCCATCACCGAAAGAGGATAATTCCCCACCGCCGGCAAGCACGGGTTGTCATGGAACGAATGATGCAGGTCAGTATAATGTCCTTGATCTCTCCTTTGAAAAAGGAGTGCTCCAGTCCCTAGCTGGGCATTCATTTCATCCACTTGAACCATTTCAGCACATATCCTCTGTGCCATGTACGCCATTGCTGGCCAGACGGAACGATCGGTAAGACCGCGACGCATAACCCAATCAGTTGTTGGCGACTGAATCAGCGTCCTTGGATCATACACCAGAACAACCATCGCACCGTCACCCATTGACTGATCAGCATCGTCCTCCAGTGCCAGGTTCTCATCCTGTTCGCTTGCACCCTCGGATGACATGCTAATAACCAAATTTCGATCCATCTTATTGGACCCTTTTTGGCAGTCTCTTTGCCCCACCGGCAACTTGCCAACTGCAACCTTCCAATAAATCCGAGTCAGAAGGCCTTTAACCAGCAATTGCTGAAGGTCACTCCTCACCGGACCGCCATCCAATATCTTCGCATCATCACCACGGAGGTCATTGCTCCCACCTTCTCCTTCTTTTTGGTCAGTCTCCTCGCCAGAAATCTGTACTGCTCCTTCCGGCGCCGTCTCCTGTCCAGCCACTTCTTGCCCAGGAAGAATTTGAGCGCTTTCAGAGACATTCACCTGTCCAGCAACACCTTGCCCAGGTAAAACCTCATCCGTGGAGCCCACCGCCAGCGAACCAACCATAACTGAACCATCCCTTGCTCTTTTTTGAGACCGTTCAGCTCGACGAGAAGGTTGTGGTAGCGAAAAAACTTGTGAAGTCACTTCTTGGCGGGTCTCCCCCCGCGACGCTTTGTCGCGCCCTTCGCCAAGGTGAACCGATTTTTTCGGCCCGTCATTGGAGCCTGAAGAACCACTTTGCGGAACATTGCCACGATTCGCAGTTCTCTGTGAATCCCTTTCTTGCAAAAAGATTTCCTTCAGGCGTTGTACGGCATTGGTCTCCTCTTCGCTTGAATCGCTTGAGGAAGCGGCATACGAGACCAAAGCCTCCGCCTGTTCATCATCATCCACCACATCTGCCCACGCTCTGCTGAACCGATACGACAACCCACCACGAGGCTTCAGTTCCAGTGGCTTCGGCTTTTCCACCACTTCCGCCGGTTGCACTCGTCGTTGTGACCGAGAGCGTGGCACCTGTCGCACCTGTTTTTTGTCCAGCAAGGGCCTTCCCCTTCTCACAGGGTTTGATCTTGACCGATACTTTTTTGTTGGTGGATTCACCGGCGGCATTCCAACTCCCACCAACCGCAGCTTCTGTACGCACAACGGAGACCTCTGCGCAAGCGTCCAACCATCACGGTACCTGACCTTATCAAAAAGCTCCCGATAGGAGCCTCTCGGCATAGTTTTTGCACCGGAGTCTTCAGCTTCACGCACCTGAGTGAGGGTTCGCACCGCCGCTCTTCCAGTCCCTTTGTTCCCAGAAGATTGTTGTACCCGTACAGATGCATCAGAAGGAACTGCCTTTTCCGGTCCTCCCGGCCGATATCGGACATCACCAACCAATTGCAGAATTTTGCATGCGGTCACTGTGTTGATCCCTTTGTCAACCAAATCTTCCACAAAGATGAACTCTTGCAAGTCCGACACATTGGTCACACCAAGCGTAATCATCACCTCACTTACATGAGGGGTATACACCCACAGGTGTGCGTTGCGAGCCATCCAATTTTCAATTGGCTCCTCCGGATTTTGAAGCTGAGTACCAGTGGATGCAGCCACTGAATTCTTTTGTTCATCAGCTTCTGCTTCATCCAGAGTACCTTTTTCACCATCTTTTTGTGACACATTGGTCATTTGCAGTGCTTTCGGTGCCGAGGATGAGGAAGATTCAGCTCCCCCACTTGCAGGTGGCTGAAACGTGCTTCTATCCGTAATCTCCCATCCTCTCTCTTTTTCAAACCGGACCTGATTGGCCACCTGTACCAAGTGTTTCAGGAGCGACAGCCGCTCCTCTGACATCTCGTCATGGGAGTACTTGCAGAAATTTAACCCTTTCCGGCAACGTCCTCGGAGGTAATAATCGAAACAGCAATTGTGGAACCCTGCGTCCCTTAGTGACTTCCTGGAAGCATTGTCCCAAGATTTGCCGGGCTCCCAAGTCCCTTCCAATGCTATGTCATCGTTGTGAAGGTACCTGCATGCAGTCCCATATTTACAACCACCTTGATTGTAATACAGACACAGCCGACCTTTTGGCTCACCCGACGTAGGCTCACCCTTTGATGCACCTTTGCCAAAATTGTACTTGGCCCGGAAGGCTAAATCCTCCCGCTCCTGCTGTGCCTCATCCACTGTACCTTCCTCTGTGGGAGGGTCACCGATGTTCCCATCCTCATCATCAGCTTCTTGGCCATTCTTTGGATCAGTTGACCCTCCTCCTGGCCAACCTTCACCATAACGACGATGCTCATAGGAACACTCATCACCATTGCGACACCTTCCCCGATTGAAGAACTTGCACAGCTTGCTGTAACCAGGTGACAACACAGTCTTTGGTGTCATGTAAGCCTTTTTGTACTGGTCAGGGTCCATGTAGGCTTCCATTGGCTTGTTCTCCCTTTTGCTCATGGATTGCACTGCACCATCAAGCTCCTGCAAAAATAGCTTGGTGTCCAACCAAAGCGCGTTCCAAAACTCATCTTCCCCTTGATTCAGCACCGTTGCCACCGCTTCACCCACAACTGGTCGAGAAAATCTCCTTTTTTTGCATGCCAGTTCGAAAAGCGCGTTGTGGTACTGTTTTCGGGAAAAAGTGGTTAACTTCCCCAAGCCTGTGCTTTCTGTACCATCAGGCTTCCAACCACCATTTTGCAAGATGCCATACGCGCGCCGAGCTTCCGCATTGAGGAATGCCTGATCTGCAACACACTCCTGTAAATCTTCCATCGGGCGACCCAACAGCATCCCTGTAATTTTGCCAACATAGGCTTCCTCTTCGTTTCCATTCTCCAGAAGAGCTTTGTAGATCTTTTCTCCATAAAGTTGTCTTTCTTCTCGTTCTTCAGAGGATAACTCCTGTACCACAAGCTCCTCATCGGATTGCTCTTCCTCCTGTTTCCAGTCCCATTGACCGTTGGAATCTCGGTACCACTGACCAACATACCATGAATTCGTCCACCACGTACTCCAGCCGCTGGGTTTCCACTTCCGCAGCGTTGAGGAAGAGTCCTCCACGTCCTCTTCCAAAACCAGAAAGGTGTCCAAGATTATGGTACCATCATCTTCCACTAGTTTCACTGTTCCATTGACAGTATCACCAAATCTGAAATGACACGTATTGTTCCCTTCTGCAGGAATCAATACATTCAAATCACCAAGGTCCAAAAAGGCTCCATACCCATTGATGCAGCGCACTAGACCCATGATCTCATCTCCCTCTTGATAGCAATGTGTCCCAGGTGATTCCAAGGCTCCCGCTCGGGGCACTTTCTTTGCGTGCTCTTCAGAAACCACCTCTGTATCATCGGCTCCTGGCGCATCCTTTGTTTTCACCTTTGAGTCACACTGCTCGTCCTGCTCCACGAGTCCCACCAGCTCATCTTTTTTGTGCTCCTGGACTTCAGGACCTCCCTTTTTCTCCGCCAAAGGCTTTGCCTCATCTGCTGTAATTCGCTCGGTGTCGACTTCCGGCGAACTTCCAGACGGCAACACTTCTCCCTTCATGGGAGTGGACCCATCATTGGAGTCCTTTGTCACACCTTCTGCAGCAGGCAAATCTTCCTCCACTGCAGGGCAATTAAGTCGATCATCCACGGCAGGCACGCTTTCTTCCACCGCAGGCTCCTTTGGTTCCATGGCTTCCAAAGGAGAATTTCCACCATCGTTGACCACAGCTGCCTCATTGGTTCCGGTGTAGCCCTTGTCATTTCGTTCCTCGCGGCTAACTTCAGGTTGCACCAGTGCGTCCACCTGTGAACCTCCATCATCAGCTGCTGCGGAGACCTGCGCCCCATTGTTGCAGTCGCCCGTGGAACGTAACACCATATGCACCTCAACCCGTGCTTCCTTCGCACTCCAGGTAATATCTGGCGCATCGACCCGCGCATCATTGGCGCTCCAGGCCTCATTTTTCAGATCTTCTGTGTCTCCAGCTATTCCAGAAGCTTCTTTTTCCCTTTGAATGGCAGGAACCTTGGCACCAAACGAAGAGACCTCCTCAGTCGCAACACACGACCTTTTCCCTCCGTCTTCCAAATCTCCAGGACCACATTCCTGAACGACAGGTACCACATCCACCACTCGTTCTTCTGCAGCCGACACAGTTCCGATCTCCACATTGGGAATCTTTTCTTCTGGACCTACCGATTCCACCGCTGCCACACCCTCAGAAAGTGCTCCCATTCCTTCCCGATCCAGATGTTGAGCTCCAGCGATGTCTGTTCGGTTTCCAGGAATCTCCTCCTCATCAGGAGAACCCGAGGTCGGGGCGTCACCACCAGCCCTAGGACCGCTATCCCTGATAGTAGAGGAAAAATCTTTTTCACCTAAACTATTTACACTACCCTGGAATGCCCTCGTAGACTCAGTCTTCGGAGTAGAGGATGAAGAATCCAGTGCCGCCTCCATTTCCAGCTCATTGCCCGAAGGAGACCCAACCACCTCGTCACTCTTCATCTTTTCACCTACCACCGGCAATGTCCACTTGCTTTCCTGCGTATCCAGGCAGTAATAATATTGTCTCCCATCTTCATGGAGGTGCCATTCCCACGTTGTCCCATCGCACGCTTTGATCAGATGCTCGTCTTTCCGAAAACCATCCCTTTCAGAGACCTGTCGCATCTCGTCCTCTTCTTCGGACAACTGTCGCAACCTCTCAGCCTCCATCTGTAGGATCTCCTCCTCCCCCATGGCGTATCCAGCAGCAGGTGCAGCTTCAAAGCTGTCCGCACCCTTCTGTTCATGACCGCTTCCACCACCTTGGGAACTCGAAGATGGATCCCTTTTGATCTTGTTCAGAGGCCTCCTGGCCGCTTGCAGCACTTCTCCAATCAGATCGGTCTGAGACTCTTGGTCTACCATTCGACCCGAAGTCGAAGACGACGGCTGATACCCGTGTTTGTGCAACACTCGTAAAACAGTCACCTCCATTTCACGATCTATACCACCAGTCGCGTCCCAGTTCCTTTTCTCACCAGGCTTTGGCGATACAGAAACAGCACGTCCTTCAGCTTCAGCATTGCTAACCATATCCACATTGGGATTCATACCCACATTGGGGCTTTCTGCAACCAAGGCCTCTTCCAGATGTTCTTCAGCGCCGGGAATCACCTCTTCCAACACCGATCTTTCACCCAGAGACTCAGCTGCACCATTTCCAGCTCCACCATCTTGTCCACCATCCGAGGCAAGTTGGAGCCATCGCTTCGGAGAAGGCATTGCTTCTTGATCCCAAAAACCTTGAAAGAACACTTAACCGCAGGGAACCTAATTTGGGCTCATAACCTACGGGGGGACAACCAAGGAAGGAAATCAACTCCCCTAATCGCCCTGAACTTATATTTCCCAGATCGAACCAAGAAACAACCAAGAACACGGATAAGAGCAACCCAGGGGGAAAGGAAAGGGGGAAGGAATCCACACCCTTACCAAACCCTAAAAACCCAGGCACTACTTTTTGAACTTGTGGCTTTCTGTTCAAGCCCATCTTGAGCCAAACATGGTTTACGGGTTCATTAACCCTTTCAACTTCCAACACTAACTCCTTTCTACAATACCAATTGCAGCTCCGCACCCTAAACACTAAACATAGGATTCAGACGTGAGGGCCGCATGGTCGCGTATCAAGCCAGGCGCGAGGGCCTTCCCTACTGAGCCTCAGCCATTCCCCCGAAAATCGACAGGCCCTAAACCCTAACGTCCTACCCGCCTCTGGCGTGTTTTTTCCAAACAATTTGGGGATCCCAATTTTTTAGGCGATTCCTAGAAAAAAGGACGATCCGGAATTTGGGGCTGCGCAAGGGGTATCTCTAAGAACCTACGCAGCTACAACCCTGAGACCCCCCCCCATGCCCCAAAAAACCGAGATGCCCCAATGAAGACCGCCTGAAGACGACACGCACATGCAGCCGAACCTCCCAACAGCTTACGATATTTGAGTTTGGCGGCTTCCGAAATTTGGAAGCCTTTTCTGTTATTATTAGTAGTAGGCACCAAGCCTACACAACTGAGGCACCTGAAACTCAAAATTTCCCAAGCCAAGAAACCCTAAATCCTAAACCCTAAACCCTAAGCCCTAAACCCTAAACCCTAAACCCTAAACCCTAAACCCTAAACCCTAAACCCCAAACCCCAAACCCAGCCAATCCTTCAGGTGGTGGAGGAAGAGTGGCGGGGTCGCCTCGGCGTTGAGCAGCGCGTGGAGGATCAGTTCTGGGCCGAGGTCCGGCTTTGTGGGGTTTAGGGTTTAGGGTTTAGGGTTTAGGGTTTAGGGTTTAGGGGTTAGGGTTCAGGGTTTCGGGTTCAGGGTGTAGGGTTGAATGACGAAACCAGCGTTTGGGAGGCTTAGGGTTCAAGGCGTTTAGGGTCTAGGGGTTATCTATAAGCAGTGAAGCAACTGATGTTGTTGGTCAGTAAGTTGAGGGTTTGTGGTTTGGAGCTTGGGGTTTAGGATTTGAGGCCTGGGACTGCAGAAGCTTATGCTTCGGGATGTGGGGCTTCGGAATTGAGAGGTTTGGGGCTTGGGTTTTTTTTTTTTTGCAATTTGAGGGGCTTCGGGTTTGGGAGTTGGGGGCGACAAGGGTTCACGTTCTAAGACACCCGTGGGTGCAGGTCTTTGCTGGGTCCCGTCATAGCCAACGGCTGCCCATCGGCAAGATGGAAACACTGCGGAGCTGTCCCTTAGCAGTCCAGTGGTACCCTTTACCCTTTTTGTTGGTTCAAGGTTCCCTTATAAAGTAACCCCAAAAAAAGGTGCCCTCATTGTAACATGGTTACTTGGCTACTAAGGTCCAGACGAGCGCTTGCGGGCCTTTTACAGGAGGTGCGTGGGCTTGTCAAGTTGGGGTTTTTTCGTGCTGGGATGTCGGGAGGTGGTTTTTGATGCACCCCTTCAGTAAGCCTTCGACTGATGAAGGTCTTCCCACTATGTTGTCTGCAGAACTCCTCCCAAAGACGCCTGGGAAGCCTCAACCCTAACACCCTAAATACCCCAAACCCAAGGCCTCTCGGCCCATCAACGCGCGAAAGCAACCGTACACCTACAAGCCCTGCTTAGACCCCCCGAATAGGCCCGAAATTAACTCCGAGTTGCGCTCAGGGGTTTAGGGTTTAGGGTTTAGGGTTTAGGGGTTTTGGGTGTAGGGTGTAGGGTTTAGGGTTTAGGGCCTCAGAAACCCTAGAAAGGCCTGGAAGCCCCGTAAGCCCTTAAGTCTCGAAGCTCTTCAAGCCCCGCAAATCTTGCAAGCCCTGCAAGCCCAAAACCCTGTAAGCCCTACAATCCCACCAAGCGCTCGCAAGTCCTTTTAGCCCTAAGAGGCCCCAAACTAAGCCCTCAACCCTGTACCCTAAACCCCAAACCCCAAACCCCAAACCCCAAACCCTAAACCCTAAACCCTAAACCCTAAACCCCAAGCATCTGCAGTCTCGAGGTGGTATCGGCCACATCGGATGACCATTCTCTGCATTGGCGACTTCGGAAGCAACGTCGTGGCCAAGAGCTTGATCCAGAAGGTCTGAGGGTTTAGGGTTTAGGGTTAGGGTCTAGGGTCTTACAGGGTACATAGGCCTAGGAAGGCTGGTAGGCTTTACAGGGCTTATTAAGGAGTTTTGACAGGGTTTTGGGGTGAGGGTTTATGGGCTTGAGGGCTTAGGGCTTTGCAGGGTTTAGGTAGGGCTGAGGGTGTCTTTGGGGCAGGCGGGAAGGGTACATGGAAATCTGCGGCGGCTTATGAGATTGAGGGTTTTGCTGTTATGGGGTTGAGGGTTTTGGGGTTGACAGTTGAGGGCTTCTGGCTGAGGGTTTGAACCCTAAGCCCTAAACCCTAAACCCTAAGCCCTAAGCCCTAAACCCTACGGCCCGAAAGCCCTAAGAACTCGGTGGAAGAAGCTTCAACCCTAAACCCTAAACTGTTTGAAGGAATGTTTAGGGTTTAGGGTTTAGGGTTTAGGGATGTGGAGCTTAGGGTTTACGGATTAGGGTTTCTTCTTCAATCAGAGCCCCATTCCTGGAAGGCCTTCGCCGACGTCAAGCCCCCCCAGGACGGTTCGGCAGTTGAGGGCTGGGCTTGGGTTTGGGGTTTAGGGTTTAGGGTTTAGGGTTTAGGGTTTAGGGTTTAGGGTTTAGGGTTTAGGGTTTAGGGTTTAGGGTTCAGGGCATAATTAGGGTTTAGGGTCAGGATCCGGGTCTCAGTGGTATCAGGGTCAGGACCCAAGCTGAAACCCCAAGCATGCCTTTGCACGCGCTACCCCCCGAACCCTGCTCCCCTAAATCCCAAAACCTTGTATGCCTACAGGTTTTAGGGTTTAGGGTCCCGGGTTAAGTGTTTAGGGTTCAGGGTTTGAGGTTAGACCTTAAACAGCCCCAACCCGAAACCCTAAACCTAAGCTAAGCTGTACAGCCTAGAAATCCCTAAGCCCTACATCTTAAACCCTAAACCCCAAACCTCTAAACAGGGTGCAGGGTTTTTGTTTGTCTAAAGCCCCGGCAAGAAGTGAGGATGCGGAGACCCAGTTCGAGGTCCCGCCACTGATAGCTCACCCTCGAGCTGCGGTGGTGTACAGGGACCAGGAGCCAGGGTTTAGGCCAAATGAAATATTCCCACGACACCCCGAAAGCTGCACTCAAATGCAGACCCCACCCTGGACCCCCAAGGGTTTAGGGTTTAGGGTTTAGGGTTTAGGGTTTAGGGTTTAGGGTTTAGGGTGCCACACGATCCTTAATCGCCCAGCAAACGTGCGTTTGTAGAGGAGGTTCCTACAACCGCGGGTCCGGCATTAAACCCTACAACCCCGAACCTTCAACCCTAATTACGTTGGAGGAGGACTTGCGCCTGTAAGGGGTTTAAAAAGGTGTTCCGGGTTTGCAATTAGGGGTTTAGTTCCTAGCCTTTTCGTTGCATCAGGGGGGACATGTCGTTCGACAAGCTCGGCTTTATTCACGGAAAATTAGGGGTGTCATTTTGTATCTAAAGCACAACGAAGCGTAAAGCAATGAAGGCAACAGCACAAAGCGAAGCATGGTTAAACCGAGGAGCTCACCAGCTATGTGCTCCGCATCCGGTTCTTCTTCGAAGAGACTCCCCGGCGAACTCTTGGGGAGATGGTCAGTGGCATGGCTTGATGCAGGGAACCGTTGTGATCTTGTGGTGTTGCGCGTGCAACTTCCAAACACCTTACTGTTCAACGACTTAGATCATAAGGAACAACCTTGCGCGCAACTACAAACATGCTTAAGTTCTAAATGAAGATAGCCTCAACGTACCTCCAACCATACAAGATCCAAAGCCCTCTAGCCCTTAGACTCCAAGAGCAGAGCCGACGGCCTCTTGCAGGTGACATGTCCAGGGACCTCCTGGTCATGGCCTTGAACCGACGGCTTTCCGCCTTGCAGTTGCGGCCATCGGCGCCCTTCTTGTCTGCGTCGGCCGGGGAGGAGCACGGGGGTCCTGTTTCTGGTGGGGAAGTGTGGGGGTGGGTGGCGGTGAGGGACTTCCCAGAAAGATCTCACGGTCTCTCTCTCTCTCTCTCGCTCGCTCTCGCCTGCCTTTTCTCTCCCTTCTCTTCCGCCTTCTTGCCCATTCTCGCAGTGTTATGTTTCTCTTTCTTGCGGTGGATTGTGAGTAGTGCCTGTGCTTCGTCTTTTCTAGGAGAGTTTCACGATGCCAGCAAACGCTTTGTGTGCACAACGTGCACAAACAGCGGTGCATGGAAGAGCTTCAATCTGCTGTGAAGCTTCCCTCGCGAAACACAGAGATTCCCACACCTAAACCCTAAACCCTAAACCCTAAACCCTATAAACCCTAAGCCCCAATCCTGCAGGATCACATCACGCAGACGTGCATCTGCCTGTCGATCTCTGCGAATGTTCTCAAGGGCAACCTGCTCAAGGTTCCCAGAGTTGCGTCTTAAAAAACCCTAAACCCTAAACCCTAAACCCTAAACCCTAAACCCTAAACCCTAAACCCTAAACCCTAAACGCGCCCAAAACCCATGCAATCTTGGGACCTTGAACTGCGGGCAAGTAGTCGGTAGACAAGAAGACGTCCCCCAATCTAAACGTTTAAAACCCAGCCACATGAGCACTTTCCCAAAGTAGGGGAACGCCTCAACTACCCCCCCCCCGCCCAACATTCGATATTCAAACTTAAGGCCCCTGTTTTGGAAACCCTAAACCCCAAACACTCATCAATTAAACCCTAAACCCTTAAACCCGAAACCCCAAACCCTGAACCCTAAACCCTGAACCCTGAACCCTAAACCCCCCATGAAGCCTCGACCCCAGAAGACTCGAATTGCAGGCTGCGGAGGCTCTGGGAGAGGTGGCCGCCAGCCTGGCAAGACATGGCCTGAGCGACCGGGAGATGGAGTTGACGAAGAAGTCCCTTGTTGAGCTTCCGGAGCTCTAGGAGTTTGGGGCTTAAGGTGCTTTAGGGTTAGATTTAGGGTTACCCGGTTGAGGGTTTAGTTAAGGGTTTAGGGTAATTGTGGAGAAATTTTCCTGATTAGCTTCCCTAAACCCTTGGCCCCCAGACATCCCTCAGCCAGAGGCTTTTGACCCCTTTTGGCAAGCCCCAGGTTCCACGCAACTGCTCTGGATTCCGTGTGGGCAGAGAGGCACCACGTCGACTCCGAGGATGTTCTGGAGTGTGCCGAGGAGTTCATCCTCTCGGGTGAGCAGACGCGCATGTGCTCGGATTTCATGGACGTGCGCCTACAACGTGAGGCGCAAAAGACCAGGGTCTACATCCGCCATTGTGTTATGTTAACTCTCTCTCTCTCTCTCTCCCTCCCTCTCCCTCTCTCTCTCTCTCTCTTTCTCTCCCTCCCTCTCTCTGTCTCTCTCTCTCTCTCTCTCTCTCTCTCTCTCTCTCTCTCGCTCTCTCTTACATATGCTTACAATATATATATATATATACATATATATATATAATTTGTTTTCCTTTACTAAGTCTCGGGTCTGTAATTCCTCGAGCCCCGTGCAATGTACGCCTTGTACTGAAATCTTCCAAATCTACTCTATACTGCCTTCCATTCAGTTCATGAATGTGCATGAATGGTACTGACACCTGAAAATGCACTGTGTTGCGTCACGCTCAAACCTCGTTTCCGGTGTGTTCAAACTTCGACATCCATTTAACAGTCGCCCACCCCACCCCCGAAGCCCACGAAGCCGGTTTAAGGCCTCGGGTTTCAGGCAAAATTCCAGTCAATGCATACATCATGTTTAATCAAAGTCCTGCCCTTTATCAACCCAACCCCAGAAGTGCTAAAACCCGAAAAAGCCAGATGTGATTTTTTGTTCCTTCCCAAAAGATTCTAATCCATACTAGAGGAGCCTCCGGAAAAGGTTGCCCCTACTTTGAATAAACCTCCCAAGTATGTCAAAACCCTAAACCCTAAACCCCAAACCCAACCCTAAATCCTTAACCCTTTATAAACCCCTAAACCCCAAACCCTATAAACCCTATAAACCCTACTATAAACCCTAAACCCTCAAGTACTTGGGCACTGCAGGCCATGGCGCTTTTGGGCAGCGGGCCTCTGGCTGATCCGCAACTCCAGAAGATTGCTGCGACTGGGTTGCTGTTGAGGGGCAGTGGTTTATAGCGTTTAGGGGTCCAGGGTTTAAGGTTTAGGGTTTGGGGCTTAGGGTTTGGGATTTCCGGTCTGGGGTTTAGGGTTTTCTGTTTAGATGCTATACCACCCCTCCCCCCCCCCTACGAATTAGTTTTGCAATCCCTCTCTAGACACTAAACCCCGAATTTCTGTTCCTCAGGCGAAGCTCTTTGACATTGGCGCAGGCCGCTGGACAATCGAGGCAGAGAGGAGGTTTAGTGTTGAGTGTTTGGTGAGGGGGGTGGGGATTCCTAAACCCTAATCCCGAAACAGGTTTAGGGGTTTGGGGGGGGGTGTAATTCGAGTGGTGGAGAGCCCTAGGATCCCCAAGCCGAAACTCCACCGGCTCCCAAAATCTGTGTGCTTGTGCACCTCAGTCATCGTCCACTCCGTGACATCTCTGCCCCTGAGAACCCCCAAGCACTCGGAAGCCTTGGTGGCTGCCAAAAACCTGCAAACCCTGACCCCCACCCCCCCCCCAAAAAAAAATAAACAACATAAACTTGAATCATTGTCCCTCTTGGGTCGACCCCCAAATGCCTTGTGTCACTTTCGAGGCTTCGGGTTAGGGTACCCTGAACCCTGAACTCTACCTTTTGTCTCAAAGTACCTCTTAGCAAGGGTGAACTGCGTCAATGGGGTCTGGAAGATCAGGTGTCTTACAGGGTACTTGGGCGGTTTCTGAGTTGAACCCTCAAAACCTGAACCTTGAGCCCGAAACCCAAAAAAACCCTAAACCCTAAACCCTAAACCCTAAACCCTAAACCCTAAACCCTAAACCCTAATTCCGAAAGAGGCGGAGATGGTGGACGAGGCGAGTCCGGAGACATGCGCTCTCAGCCCCAGCCAGTTGCAAGAGGCCCGAAACTTCGAATGGGGGGAGGAAGGGGTGAGGGGCGGGCTGTTTTAGGGCTTGATTTTAGGGTCTTCAGTGTTTTTAGGCTTTTGAGAGCCCCGTAAGGCGTTTCGGGGCTTTTGGGGTTTGAGGGCATTCTACAGTTCATTTTGTGTTGGCGGCGGCAAGGTGAAACGCTGACCGGGGTTCTAGGGTTTGGTTACAAGGTTCTTGAGGGCTTCTGGGCTTAAAGGATTCGGGCCGTAGACGCTGAACTCTAAACGGGATTTACACTCCAACCCGAAATTTCACGCTCAAGCCCCCAAAACCCTGTATGTGCTCCTTGGGAGCAGGCCCTCGCAAGCTGCGATCGCGCAGATGTGCCGCCCTTCGCCTGGCTTCCTGGTGAGCTCCTGGATTCCGACGCGGTGCAGGCTCGAGATATTAGGGCACTGGGGTTTAGGGTTTATACTACATCAGGAGCCTTCAGGTCAGGTTTTACCACTAACCTTCTCTAACCCAACCCTAAACCTCAAGCCCCGACTGTCACTCCCCAAAGAAGCCTTCCAAGCGAAGGACCAGATTGGCGAGCCCAACCCCGTCGTGCAGACGCTGCCCTTGGAGCACCTCTCTGCCCAGCATTGGGTCACTGCCACAGGGTCCACGGTGGCTTGGAGCACGTCGGCAAGTTGTAGTTTGTGGGGGTTTGAGGATTGTCTAGGATGTTGTTCAGGCTAGGAGGGCTTGGTTGGAGCTTGTGCTTGCCGGTCACGAGGGCTAGGGAGATCGAGATGACAGAGAGAGAGAGAGAGAGAGAGAGACTGTGTGTGTGGGAATAGAATAGCATAGGGTCGCTTGGGCTTGCTGATTGCAGGCAGCTCACACAGGGCTTAGGCTTTTTGGCCCGGTTGTGGGCTTCGGGTGTCAAGTCGTGTGGTGGTTTGGTGTGGTGGGTGCGGGCTCAGACGCAAGGAACCCTGGAGAGCAACGAACATGGTCAATCCCTAAACCCTAAGCCCTAAACCCTAAACCCTAAACCCTAAACCCTAAACGTCCTTCGTTGGGTTCCTGTTTGTGCTACGGCCCCGTATATTTGAGATGGTTCAAGAAGGGATCGCAATCGGTGCCTCAGCTTGCGGGCTCAGGGCTCAAGGCATGTATTGGGTGGTGACTCCACTTACCGAAAGTCGATCCCAAGCCCGGTCTGGCCAGGTTTTTTAGCATGATCTAGAGAGTTTTGTGGGTGTCTTGTTTTGTTGATATTGGTTGTTTGGCGTGTCTGCAAGTAGGGTGAGGCTTGGGGGATTGAGGGTCTATAAGGCCTAGGCAAGGACCTTGCGCCCCAAGCCCTCCCCAGACCCGCGCAGGTAACCTGGCTGCGCACCGATTTCGAGCCGGACGAGCACCTGGGCCCTTGAACCAGCAAGCCACATTGGGCTTAGAGCTTGGGGTCTTAGGGTTTCGGGTCTGGGTTCTATTGTCGGCAGGGTTTACCACCTTGGGGCCTAACAGAAAAACCGCAACCCTGCACCCTATTTCACGCCCATAAACCTCAAAGCTCCAAAGCCCTGAAAGCCTTAAATCCTTAAAGCCATAACACAGAAGCCCTTAACCCACAAAAACACTTAGCACCCTAAACCCTAAACCCTAAACCCTAAACCCTAAACCCTAAGCCCTAAACCCTAAACCCTAAACCCTAAACCCTAAACCCTAAACCCTAAACCCTAAACCCTAAACCCTAAACCCTAAACCCTAAACCCTAAAACCCTAAACCCTGAACCCTGAACCCTAAACCCTAAACCCTAAACCCTATTCCGAGGATCCTCTTCCAGGGGCTGGTTCCCTGCGGCCTCTCCGAGTTGGGTAGCCCTGCATTGCGAACCGCTTGCAGCTGCATGCACGCCCTGAGGCATTCAGGGGAAGTTGGGGGGGGGGGGGGGGGGTTTAGGGTTTAGGATTAGGGTTTAGGGTTTAGGGTTTAGGGTTTAGGGTTAGGGTTTAGGGTTTTGGGTTTTGGGTTTTGGGTTTAGGGTTTAGGGTTTTGGGTTTTGGGATTTGGGTTTTGGGTTACTGCAAACAACCCCTGAACACCCTAAGCCTTAAGCCCTTGCCCTTCGAGTTATGTGGGGAAGCTGTCAGGGTCCAGTTTGGGGGCTTAGGGCGTAGGTTTTAGGGTTTAGGGTTTGAGGTCCAGGGGGATCAGAATGGAGGTTTTGAGGTTCTGAAGGAAGAGGTTGGGGCTACGGGAGGGGGTGGGTGAATTTTGCTGGGGAATCGGCTGCAGGTGGGTTTCTTGGGTCGATGGTCCGCTTCATGGCAGATTCGTTTGGGGTTAGGGTTTAGGGTTTAGAGTTTAGGGGTTAGGGTTTAGGGTTTAGGGTGTAGGGTTTAGAGAACACGAAGGCGTTTGCTGGGGCCTTAACGTCCCTCCACCCCTACACCCGCAATCGAGACGGACACTCCAAGTATCAGGTCGAGGAAGCGGGGGGTGCTCCGAGCCCGAAACCTAAACCCAGCTAGGTCCCCACACACGCGCACCCCAAACCCTAAAGCCTGTAAGCTCGAAGCCCTCAGCCCAAAGCCCTACAGAAAGGGAAGCTGTGGACGCTTGTTTTGTGTAGTGTTTTTAGAGGAGTTTCGCTTATCTACGTCCACAGCATCTCTCTCTCTCTCTCTGTAGGGGAAAAACTGATATGTGTTCCAAGCCCTAAAGCCGAAGCCCTAAGCCCTAAGCTCTACAAACCCTAAACCACCTTCAGGGTCATGGATGGCCTGGGGAAGATGACGAAGGCTTGTGTCCCAGGAAGTCGGAGTCTATAGGGTATTCGGGTGTAGGGTTTTAGGGTGTGGGGTTTTAGGGTTTAGGGCTTGGGGTTTCGGGGTTTAGGGCTTAGAGTACCTCTAGGTCTTCATGGCAAGTGATTCCAGAATTTTGGGCTATATGGGCTATCTTAGGGGTTGCCCTCTCTTTCGTGAGGCCATCCAAGACTCTGACAACGGCCTTAAAAAGCATCTTGTGTGCAACGAAACTAGGCATTTGGGCTCTTCAGCTAACCCTAGCACTTGTAGGCTTGATTGACAGAAGCCCGCCCCGCCCCACCCCACCCCAAGAGGCTGCAAAATCCAGATGTCTGAGCAGCAGCAAAGCATGTAGGGGGTCGGGGCTGAGTGGTTTATATGGGCGATTAAGGGTTCATAGAGCTTCGGAGCTGTTCATGGAATAGCCGGTATTGAAGCCTAAGCTATAAGCTACCAAACACAATACTGAGGCCCAGCTGCAAGAGTTCTTGGCCGACAAGAATGCCACGGTTCTTCTGGGAGTGCAGGAGACTGACTCCATCTTATGACCTGCGGGGCTTCTGGGGGCTTCTGGGCGCTTCGGAGTTTCGGGCTTTAGGGTAGGGGGCTGAGGTTTAGGAACTGTTCCTGCGCAAGCCGGAACGACCCCCATGACAACCTCTTAACAGCCAGCCAGATAGGGTTTAGCAGTTGAAGGGTTTCGGGGAGCTGGGCTTGGGGTAATGTGTGTTTTGCGGCTGAGGTTCGGTTCCGTAAGCAAGATTGTCCTTCTTCGGGAACCTAGTCGTATAGTGTACTTCTGGATACACCGGCTATCCAGAGCCGATGGAGCAGCCTTTGGGGGCTTCAGGGATTTGGGGCTTCGAGGGCTCAGTTTCATGAGGGTTGAGGCCACGGTCTGCTGGTCAATATGAGCAGTTACCAACATTAGCATACGCATACAAATACATATATGTTATACATATGTATATATATATATACATACATACATATGTGTATATGTCTATACATGTAAAACAAGTACATAATATATATATATATATATATATATATATATATAATATATATATATATATATATATATATATATATATTATATATATATATATATTATCCATGTATTCAACTAATTAAACTGAATTCTATCATACTACTTTATGTATAACACTACCCCGACCTCGCGATGTAATTCAGTAGGTCCCCAAACCCTAACCATACACCCTAAACCCGATGTCATAGGGTTGCAGCACTCACTTCAGATGTACTCCCGCACCATCAGCGGCCGCTGTGGGGCGTCGGCCAAAGACCTGGAGACGGCATTACGGCTCTGCCCCTGGTCTCATAGCATCCTGGGGCTTAGAGTGTGGGTTTAGGGTTTAGGGTTTAGGGTTTAGGGTTTAGGGTTTAGGGTTTAGGGTTTAGGGTTTAGGGTTTGGGGTATGGAGGCCTCTTGGAACCATGCGTCTTCCTGCTCATTTGGTTCCCTTTAGCCCCCCCCTGAAGCCCTATCGTCGGGATCCAGAGTCCTGAGAGGGTTTAGGGTTTAGGGTTTAGGGTTTAGGGTTTAGGGTTTAGGGTTTAGGGTTTAGGGTTTAGGGTTTAGGGTTTAGGGTTTAGGGTTTAGGGTTTAGGGTTTAGGGTTTGGGGTATAATTAGGGAGGGGAGGCCTCTTGGAACCTTGCATCTTCCTATCATCGGGATCCAGAGTGCTGAGCCTATTGAAATGTGGGGATTTCGGGTTCTGGGTGTAGGGTTTAGGGTTTAGGGTTTAGGGTTTAGGTTTAGGGTTTAGGGTCTTACTTAGGAGCATCTCTTCACACTTGTTCTTGCGCCAGCCTGGAGCAAGCAGAGGCTCCCTCCATTTCCTGCCCGCGAACTTCACGGAGTCGAGCTTCGAGAAGGTCTTGGAGGCGATGTCGCAGCGCATCGAGAACCGCGAGCGGGAGCCGGAGTACCACTTCGACAAGAAGCTCAAGGTTCCGGGGGTCCTTTTTTTTTTTTTGGGGGGGGGGGGGGGGGGGTTAGGGTTTAGGGTTTGGGGTTTGGGGGGGATGAGGGGCTTTTTGTTGAGGGCTTGGGTTGAGTTTGGGTTCCTTTTGAGTTGGGGTTTGGGTACACTCCTAAAGATTTTTGAAGTGTTGGGGTGTTTTTTAGGGTTGGGGGCCCAAGGGGGCGACGTCTATAAGAAACCAGGTGCTGGGTTTAGGGTTTAGGGTTTAGGGTTTAGGGTTTAGGGTTTAGGGTTTAGGGTTTAGGGTTTAGGGTTTAGGGTTTAGGGTTTAGGGTTCACGGTTTAGGGTTTAGGGTTTAGGGTTTAGGGTTAGGGTTTAGGGTTTAGGGTTCAGGCCCGAAGCACAAGCAAACGGCTACAGCAAAATTCCGGCAAGTCATGCGACCCAGTTTCTTCGAACCCCACTAAGCCCTGAATCGTTAAACCCTCCGACTCCCCTCCGCGCCCCCCAGGAAGTCACCTGCGGAAACGACAGCTTCTTCCACGAGACGACCCTGCAAGACGTCCAAGATCTGCGGAAGATGGGTCTCCAAGGAGCGCCCTAAGCCCTACATACACCCTATACAGTTTAGTGTTCAGGGCTAAGGGAGTGGTGTTGAAGCAACGCCTCATGCCATCGGAATCAAAACCAAAACCCCGAGACCCGAACCAACGCCTAAGAACCACACCCTTACCTGAGACCCTACACCCCAAACCCTACATTCACCCTAGACCCCTAGACCCTATAAACACTACTGTTAGACTGATTAGATCTGAAAAGGAGCTGTGGAGATGTACAACCAGCTCTTCTCGGACCCAAAGGTTTGGTCCTGGGTGACCCTGGGCTGTTCTACTGCGCTGGGTTTAGGGTTTAGGGTTCAGGGTTTAGGGTTTAGGGTTTAGGGTTTAGGGCTTGGGGTTTGGGGTTTAGGGTTTAGGGTTTAGGGTTTAGGGACAGGGGGATGTTTGACAGTAGAGTTTATGGCTTCTAGAGGTATGTACAAGGACCTAGCAGACTTCTAGGTGTGTTTGGCATCTCTAAACCCTGAACCCTAAACCCTAGGTCTCGAAAACTGGAGGTTGTTTGGCTTTCAAAGTGGGGCCCTTTTGGAAACCTACACCCCTGACTCCAGACTCCGAACACGCCCTAAACCCGAAACCCTAAACCCCCAACCCTAAACCCCGAACCCTAAACCCTACCCCAAACCCTATAATCCAAACACCAAGGATCGTCGGAGCACCTTGGCCGCAGCAAGCTCACCGCACGCTTGATGCAGGATCTCGGGTCTCGAGCTCTTTGTGTTGTGGTTCTGCTTGCTGCTGGAACTTGTTGCTGTTTGTGTCGATGTTCTGCAAGGCACAGTGGGGGGCTAAACCTTACAACCTAAACCCGAAACCCGAAACCCGAAACCCTAAACCCTAAACCCTAAACCCTAAACCCTAAACCCTAAGCTCTTCGCGAGGCCATCCCCCCCGACGAAGAGTTCCGAGACATCCTTGGGCGCGGCCTCCAGCCCCCGGCGGCAAGCCACGAGGAAGAGAGGCGATGGGCTTTCTTGGGTTTAGGGTTTAGGGTTTAGGGTTTAGGGTTTAGAGTTTAGGGTTTAGGGTTTAGGGCTTAGGGTTTAGGGTTTAGGGTTCAGGGCTCAGGGTTCAGGGTTTAGGGTTTAAAGTTCATGGAAGTTTTCCGAAAATGTGGCGGGGAGGGGGGGTGCCTTTTTCGGGGTCCGTTTCGTGTACTTACCCTTTTTTGGGAGATTCCGATGTGTTTCGTGAAGATACCACTCGATTTAGGAGGTTATGTTCGATGGCTTTGCAGGGCTAAGAATTGGACAGCTTAAGATTTCGAGCCTAATTAGGGTTCAACAGACCATGGGGTCGACTTTCAGAGCGTGCTCGACGTTTACGGAATGACCCTCAAAGGCCTCAAAACCCTCAAGCCCTATGTGCGCTAGTCAGAAAGCCCAAGGAGATATGTGCCGTTTTGGGGTTTAGGAATTCGGGCCATCTCATGAATCAACTGTGAAGTAGGTCAAAAGGTGTGGCTGTGGGATCGAGGGTTTAGGGTTTAGGGCTCGGGCATACTGTATACTGGATTCACATGTTCGTCGGGCGAGGCAGCCATTCCTTAGCCTCGCAGCTGCTGTTTGACCTCAACCCTAAAACCACAAAGCCTCGAAGCCCTAAGCCGGAAACCCGTATCCCAAATCCGGTGGTGCAAGGCGCTTGCCCAAAGCGCGCGTGCCGCAATTCACCCCTGGGGGACCCCACTGCGTGCAGCAAGCCTGGAGCTGGTCGACAGGTTTTGCGGGGTTTGGGGTTTAGGGTCTTCAAAGCCTTCGGATTTGGCCGACGGCGGGCCATGTTGGCATTCCTCTTGCGCTCGCTGGTGCAAGCTCTTGTCAGTAGCCCTAAAAATCAACCCCCCCCCCCCCCCAACAAAAGAACATCACCCTGCAACCTGATCCGCAAGGACATGTACTGACCAGTGTTCCAGCTGGGCCGCTCAGGTACTCCGGCCTTTCTGACACTGCCCGTGTCGCCGTTTGCTTCGAGGCGGTTTAGGGGCGGAGGATTTGAGTTCAGGGTTTTAGGAAGTGGGGTTGAGGATCTCGGGCCTGCTTCAGTGGTGCTAGGGTTTGGGCCTGAAAGCCGGCTTAGGGTTCGCAAGTTCTTGTTATTTTTGTCGTTTGTAGGGATTTGTTTAGTGCCTGTGAACCTAGCAAATGCGAAGTCGCGACTTGGCATTTGATGTTGCCGCTAGGTCGATGCCAGATTGGTGTCAACGGCTCGGCAGCGCCTTTCACTTGCCTGGCTCGGCGATATCCTGGAGACGCGGCTCGTTGAGAAGATGCGCATGGAAACCGGCTCCACCTACAGTGCGCCTTGCCGATCTGATTGGTGGACTTCGGTTTTTTCAGTGGCGTTTAGGGCTTATGGGGTCTTTACTACCCCAGCATAGAATTCCAAAAGCCCTTGGAACCCTACTTCTTTTCAAGCGTAACCCTCCGAAGCACAAGCCTGCACTTAAGAGCAATCCCCCCCCCCTCGTTGCTTCTGTGCATCTCAATCACTATCCGCTCGTAATCCTATATCTCTGCAACCCGAATTCACCACTGTAAATCCGCGATAACGGGACCCCCCCCCCCCCCCCCTTTTCAAGGGAACCGCGGGGGCCAAGGTCCTCAACTGCGTTCTTCCCCCCCCTGCCCCTCTTGCCTGGAGCCACCCGCCCAAAGAAAGACGGTAGATTAGAGCCACCTCCGCGTCATAAGAAGCACTTGCATCCGGATGGTGATGGCCGCATGGAGTGGGGTTGCTTGCGGTGCGGACGTTTGGGCCTTCTCAATTGCCCTCAACCCTATACATGGCTTGCTGCTTGCTGTTGCTTGTTGGCGAGCGCTGCATGATGAAAGTGAAGTTGATTGAAGAGGCAGATGCGGAATTGCTGCCGTAGTGGTGACTTACTAGCCAGGCCTGAGATCAGCGCGTGCACTTGCCAGTTGCCACAGAAGTCGATGCAGCGTGCCGGCGCTGATTCGAAAACCCAAGCCGAAACCTCCCGAGAACCTGTTGAATGACTACAGGTATACCTCATGCTTGTCGCGAAGCCCGAAATTCTGGAAACTAGCAGAGCAGCCTCCCCGAAAACCCCTAAACCCTAAACCTTATTGCATTCATGTTGCGTCCGGCTCTTGGCAACTCTTCACCCTCAATGCTTCTGAGCTCCTTGGCGAAACTCGGGTTTCGTTTGGGGCTCTTCGACTCTTAAGCAGGTCTATCCCTCCTTGGATTCCTCCTGCTTGGAATCCTGGCCCTTTTCCTGCGAACTTCCCTCGATCCTTTCATGGGGACTGTTCTACTTGTAAAATATGGGCTCTTTGAACAGGGTACGTGCCCTAGCATAGTGGAAACTCTTTTCATGACTTCGAACCGCATCTCATGCTGTTGATGTGCCGATCGTCTCACGCAGGGAAGGCGGGGGCGGTCTTCTGAGCTTCCTGTGCAAAGCAAGGAGTGCGGGCTTTTTGGCGAGCACTCTGCTCTAGACCCCGTCAAAGTCTCAAAGGTCATAGGGTTCAAACCCTAAACCCTAAATCCTAAACCCTAAACAACACCGACCAGGTGTCTTGCTCCATGACCACCGGAAGCACTGAATTGGCTGTTGCTAACCGGAGGCCACTCTTGCGACCTGTCTCAAGAGGGGTTTGGGGTTTTGGGGTTTGGGGTTTTTTGGGGTTTTTTGGGGTTTGGGGTTTAGGGTTTGGGGTTTAGGGTGTTAGAGTTTTGGGTTCAGGAGTGTAAGGTTCTTGGGGCTTTGGGGAGGGGCGACCTGAAGAATTCTTGGATCGGTCACTGTGAAACGTGTACTCCCTTAAGGAGGTAAACTCACGCTTGACCACTGAAGTGGATACCACCACCGCCCGGATGCGGTTTTTGGGATCATGGTGGCTTTTGGGTGGTGATCTGCGAGCTTTGCTTGGGGCGTTCAGGAACGAAGTGATCGCGTGAGTTAAGTATACAATCGAGCACAGCGAAAAAAGCAAAACACAATCAGGAGCGACGCACTAGCCACAATCAATAAAGTCAAGGACAGTGCAGTGGTTGTGCTCTCAAAAAACCTGTTCTTCTAGGACTTACTGCGCGTAAAGCGCAATATGCACACGCGCACACACACACAAGTGTCTGTGTACCATACATATATATATATACACACACATATATAAATAAATATAAATAGAAATATAAATAAATAAATAAATAAATAAATAAATAAATAAATATATATATATATATATATGGTCACGCCCCCCCCCCCCCCCCAATGGACCCACCGCGGGCCTTGATCTTTGCAAAAGTACCGCAAATACCGATAAAACCTATGCTGTCTAGTGATTTTCCGGTGACCGGATTTTTGACTGTATTCCTTAATTCACTCTCTCACACACACACGGAGGGGTTTTCTTTCTGCTGGCTTTTGTTTATAATTTAAGATTTAGGCATTTAAACCTAAGCCTGCAAAAAGACCCTTAACCTTTTAAACCCTGTAGGGTTGAGGTTTCAAGGTTAAGGGTTTAAGATTTAGGCATTTGAACCTATGCCGGCAATTAAACCCTAAGCCCTTAACCTTTGAATTCTATAGGGTTTAAGATTTTACAGGTTTAGGTTTAAGATGTAGGCAATCAAACCTAAGCCTGCAACTAATTTTAAACTCTTAACCTTTAAACCCTGTAGGGCTAAGGTTTAAAGGCTTAGGGTCTAAGATTTAGCCATTTAAACCTGTAGCCAAGCCCTTAACCTTTAAACCCTGTAGGGTTAAGATTTTAAAGGTTTAGGATTTAAGATCTAAGCATGTAAATCTCAGACTTCAATCAATTTTAAACCCTTAACCTTTAAGCCCTGTTGGGCTAAGGTTTAAAGGTTTCGGGCTTAAGATTTAGGCATTTAAACCGGTCCGGCAATTAACGCTAAGCCTTTAACCTTAAAACCCAAAAGGTAAAGATATTTAATGGTTTAGGGTTTAAGTTTAAGGTTTAGGTATTTAGACCTATGCCGGCAGTTCATATTGAACCCTTAACCTTAAGCCCTATAGGGATAAGATTTAAAGGTTTAGGATTCTTTACTTAGACATTTAAATCTAAGCTTGCAATTAAACCGAAACCCTTAACCTTTAAACCCTATAGGGTGAAGGTTTAAAGTTTTAGGGTTTAAGATTCAGACATTTAAACCTAAGACGGCAATTAACAATACACCCTTAACCTTTAAACCCTATAGGGTTAAGGTTTAAAGGTTTGGGCTGTAAGATTTAGGCATTTAAACCTAAGTATGTAATTAATTTGTCACCCTTAACACCCTTAAACTTTGTAGTGTGAAGGTTTAAAGGCTTAGGGTTTAAGATTTAGACATTTAAGCCTAAGCCCATAGAGTTTAAACCTTAAGGGTTTAAGGTTTAGGCATCTATTCCTTAACCCTAAACCCTCTAGGGTCAGGACCCTAAAGCCCTCGGCAATCAAGCCTAAACCCTTGACCTTCAAACCCCATAGGATGAGTGTTTGAAGGTTTGGGGTTTAAGGCCTAGGCATTTAAACCTAGAGGGCATTTAAGCCTTAACCCCAAACCCTTCAGGGTCAGAACCTTAGCACCCTATATGGATCTAGCACCTGCAGGTATACATCGGTTTTTAAACCATTACACCCTGTAAGAAGGTTTAGGGTCTTTTCGGGGTCTATCTCTAAATTTCTCACGGGGTTAACCCTGCAGGGTTTAAAGTTAAAGGTTTAGGATTAAAGGTTTAGGCAATACCTAAAGGATTAGAAGTCTTCTCCTGGTAAAACCATCTTTTCTCGAGAAAAAGATGGTTTTTCGAAGGATGGTTGCTCAAAACCATCTTTTTCTCGAGAAAACGATGGTTTCCAACCAAAAAACCATCTTTTTCTCGAGAAAACCAAAAAACCAAAAAAAAAAAAACATCTTTTCCAAAACTATGGGGCTGGTGCCTCCAAAAGATGGTTTTTTTTGGTTTTCTCGAGAAAAAGATGGTTTTTTTGGTTCGAAACCATCTTTTTCTCGAGAAAAAGATGGTTTTTGGAGGTCTTCTCCTGGTAAAACCATCTTTTTCTCGAGAAAAAGATGGTTTTTCGAAGGATGGTTGCTCAAAACCATCTATTTCTCGAGAAAAAGATGGTTTCGTACCAAAAAACCATCTTTTCTCGAGAGAACCTGGTTTTTTGGCTCGAAACCATCTTTTTCTCGAGAAAAAAGATGGTTTTGAGCAACCATCCTTCGAAAAACCATCTTTTTCTCGAGACGAGAAAAGATGGTTTTACCAGGAGAAGACCTCCAAAAACCATCTTTTTCTCGAGAAAAAGATGGTTTCGAACCAAAAAAAAACCATCTTTTTCTCGAGAAAACCAAAAAAAACCATCTTTTGGAGGCCCCAGCCCCATAGTTTTGGAAAAGATGGCTTTTTTGTTTTTTTGGTTTTTTGCTTTTTGTTAGTTTCTTGTTTTGTTGTTTTTCCCTTGATCTGGCTAGGACTCGGCTGCCACCCGCGGTGGGTCCATTGGGGGGGGGGGGGGGGTTGAGCATATATATATATATATATATGGTACCCCTATGTAACATTTTATACATAAACATAAATATAAAGACAAATACAAATATAAATAAATAAATATCTGTATATATATATATATATATATATGAGACATACAAATATATACATCTTGCTGGAGCCAAGACTACCTATGTACCTCGAAGTGCCTGTCCCAATGCGTCGTCAGGCTCCGATTCTACTTGATGCTCCACCTGGGGAGCCGTACCTCAGTACCTCATAGAAGGGAACCCGAAGGCCGGATTCAAACTTCAACCCCACTTCCTAAACCCCAAAAACTGACTCCCAATCGCCTTAACCCTTATATCCTAAACTCATGGATTAATCACCCGAGGGGTATCGACTTCGCCTGCGAGCCCACCGCCGCCCAGAAGCACGTCGACTGCATGCACCTGGGCGGAACACGTTCGGGGCATAGGGCCGAAGGCTTTCCGCTTAGTTTTGGAGGGTTGAGGTTCTGCAAGGGATTCTTAGGGCTTATGAAGGCTCAGGGGGCTGTAAAGGCTAATTAGTTTTTAAATCTGAAGGGGGGGGGGGGGTCGTTGGAAACATGTTTCAGAGGCCGTGCTTGCAGGGCACGCAGATAGAACCTGTAAGGAGATGAGGCTTCGAAGCTTCCCGACCCCGGCTAACACCCAGAACCCCAAGCTTCGCTAGGCCCTATTTAGGGCTGCCGCTTTCCTCGTGGACCGGCAAAGCAGGTGTTCCTAAACACTACACTCCTGCGGGTTCAAGGGTTTAGGCCTCGTCCTGCCAGCCAAGCCCTTGTAAGGGATTGTTGTTTATTCTCGGTTTCATTTAATTATGACTTAGGCTGTAAGATTCAGAGCTTGTTGAAACCCTTGAAGATGCCCAGGTTTCAAGAGATCCGTCGGCTGACGAGTGGAAGCGCGCCCGTTACTTCAGAGGCCCGATTTGGGGGATTTCCTGCTGGCTTCAGGGTTCATATGGTCTACTGTTTCTTTGCAGATGCTGTCTGCAATACTGGAACAGCTTTTTCTCCCCCCCCCCCCCTAACAACGACACCAACCAATTATCAGCACAAATCCTACACTCCAAAACCCTGACCCCCTCCCAATCCCTCCCAATTCCCTAAACCACAAGGCCTTCCACCCTAAACCCTAAACCCTAAACCCTAAACCCTAAAACCGTAAACCCTAAAACCCTAAACCCTAAACCCTAAGCCCTAAGCCCTAAACTCAGCGCCAGGAACTGGAGACCTGCCGGAAGCAGGAGCGAGAGCGATTGGCGGTTGATGAGCGCGAGAACCGATTTTGGCTTGGACGGCTGTGCACGGCCGCAAAGGGCTCAGTCTGGGGTTCTTGGGGGGTTAGGGTTTAGGGTTTAGGGTCTAGGGGTTAGGGTTTAGGGTTTAGGGTTTAGGGTTTATGCTAGGACCTTCTTATGCTAGGACCCAGAGGGGGCCCCTTGTTCCCTTTTTAGTTCACGTTCCCTTCTACGCCCCCTTTAATTAGACCCAAAAGGGCACCCTGTTCATTCCTAGGTTACTCTTGGGTCTATGTAGTATGTTATGCGATATCCTGGGGTGGGGGCTGACCCTGCCGTATCAGCATTAAAACCGAGCCGAGCTGAGGCCTGCCCCTAGCCAAAGCTTCCTTAACCCTCTAGAAGCCCTAAAATCACCCTTAGCCGGCCCGAAAGGCCCTAAAACTCCAAACCCTACAACAAAAAACGCTACACCCGATAACCCTAAACCCTAAACCCCACGAACCCCAAGCCTCAGCTGAGGTCCGCCGGGCCCGATGCGGGACCAAGGCAGAAAGCTGGGGATTCCCTGCGGAGGGGCCGCAGGCCGGCGGCGAGCTCGTGCCTCTGGAGGCGAAGGGCATGAAAGTAACATAGGAGTCGGAATAGGGCCCTATAAATTAATTCCCTTATTACTTATGGTCTCTGGAGAATTATACTATAATAACCTCGAAAAACCCTAGAACAATGTAGGGGTCCAAGTCTATGGAAACCCACAGCCCTAAACCCTAAGTGGAAATGTGAGGCTCTGAACGAAATGTTGGCTCTGTCCGCTGGCTTCTCCGATCGCATCACTGCCGTATCTGACACGGACGTGCAGCGCATGGCCGAGCAAGTCATGGATGAGAAGTCGGCAGACCCTTGGCAAAATGCGTAATCACAACAAGGCTTTCGTGTTAAAGGAGTTAGGGGTTGCGAGGTCCACGGCTCACTTAAACCATAGTTCAATACAAGTACGCGTCATTTATGAATAAGCCTCGTACAAACCCTAAACCCTAAACCCTAACCCCTAAACCCCTAAACCCCTAAACCCTAAGCTGGAAGTAAGGTGGTCATGCTCCTCCCAGAGAAGCTCGGCGAGTCCAGTGCCAAACGCCGGCGCTGCTCCGAATAATTCCGGCCCCTCCTCCTGTGACCAGAACCACACGGACGGCCCTCAAAATGACGGTCCCTTCTTCGGGCCCCTGTGAAAATACGGCCCCAATTTACGGGTGCGTCCCAAGAAAGGGACCTGCAAAATGTAGCTACGAGAAATGGCCATTGGTTCCCCCTGCTCCTTCCAGAGCCACGAGACCGCGCTGAAGCCCTCGGATTGTGCACAGAATTCGAGGGCTTCTTGTCGTGAAGGTTAGGCTGTCCCCCGCTTGTCGCAGCATGTGTCAGGAGGGAAAAGCGTAGATAGTACCCCGTGAATCCGCCTGTAGAGGGGGAAGCCTTGGAGCTTGAAGGTGACAAAAGACTTCATGTGAGTGCGCAAGCTGCCGTGAAGATCCTCTGCGCGAACCGTGAACTCCAACCTCTAAACTCTAAACCCTAAACCCTAAATCCTAAACCCTAAACCCTAAACCCCAAACCCTAAACCCTAAACCCTAAACCCTAAACCCTAAGCCCTAAACCCTAAACCCTAAACCCTAAACTCAAATAAGCTGGAACCTGCGTCTTTCGTCACCTGATCCTCGATGTCTATCGTAGTGATCTCGTCGCTGCATCCTAATCGATGTCAGAACCGGAAATCTCTAAACCGACACCCTGCATGCAAGAACCCTGAAACCAAGAATCCAAAACCCCAGCCCCAACCCCTAGAAACCAAGTCCCAAACCCCCAGCCCTAAACCTTAAAACCCTAAAACCCTAAAACCCCAAAACCCCAAAACCCTAAAACCCTAAAACCCTAAAACCCTAAAACCCTAAACCCTAAAACCCTAAAACCCTAAAACCCTAAACCCTAAACCCTAAAACCCAACACTGTTACTCTGCGAGCTGTAGGCCGCCTCTCTTCAAGGGCCCACCGCCCTTACCTCGAGCTGACGTGGGCGCGTGCCATGTCAAGGAATCTGCGGTTTAGGGTTTAGGGTTTAGGGTTTAGGGTTTAGGGTTTAGGGTTTAGGGTTTAGGGTTTAGGGTTTAGGGTTTAGGGTTTAGGGTTTAGGGTTTAGGGTTTAGGGTTTAAGGTGTCTGAAGGGGGGGGCTGGAAGAATAAGAGTTTAGGGCTTTGCGTTGTCGGCTGAAGCTTTCGGGTGCAGGGCCACCACCAAATCGCAAATCTGAAAAGCCCAAGACCCCTGATAAATATACCCTTCCCCTCGCCCCGGAAACACCAACACCCTGAACCCGATCCAAAACCAAAACGTAAGCCCTACCTAAAACCCAAACCCCAAACCCCTAAACCCCTAAACCCCTAAACCCCTAAACCCCTAAACCCCTAAACCCCTAAACCCCTAAACCCCTAAACCCCTAAACCCTAAACCCTAAACCCCGAACCCTAAACCCTAAACCCTAAACCCCAAACCCTAAACCCTAAACCCTAAACCCTAAACCCTAAACCCTAAACCCTAAACCCTAAACCCTAAACCCTAAAGCCCAAGGTCTGCTTTGTTTAGGAGACATGCCCAAGGCCGCCTCAAGAGCCGACTCCCCCGGCCACTACAGCCAAGTCGGCTCCACCCACCAAGGTGTCGGGGTTTTTTTGGGTTTGGGGTTTAGGGGCTTTAGGGTTTAGGGTTTTTGGGGTTTAGGGTTTTTGGGTTTTTGGGTTTTAGGGTTTTTTGGGTTTTGGGGTCTTAGGGTTTTGGGGTTTTGGGGTTTTGGGTGTTTAGGGGTTTTTGGGTTTAGGGTTTTGGGGTTTTGGGGGTTTTGGGGGTTGTTTTGGGGTTTAGGGTTTTTGGGTTTTGGGGTTTTTTGGGTTTTGGGTTTTAGGTTTTTTTGGGTTTTAGGGTTTTTTGGGTTTTGGGGTCTTAGGGTTTTGGGGTTTTGGGGTCTTAGGGTTTTGGGGTTTTGGGGTTTTGGGGTCTTAGGGTTTTTTGGGGTTTTGGGGTCTTAGGGTTTTTGGGGTTTTGGGGTTTTGGGGTTTTGGGGTTTTAGGGGTTTGGGGTCTTAGGGTTTTTGGGGTTTTGGGGTTTTGGGGTTTTAGGGGTTTGGGGGTTTGGGGTTTTGGGGCTTTGGGGTTTTAGGGTTTTGGGGTTTGGGGGTTTGGGGGTTTCGGATTTTCGGGTTTAGAGTTTAGGGTTTGGGGTTTGGGTTTTAGGGTTTGGGGTTTTGAGTTGAAGGTTTAGAGGGGGGGGGGGGGGGGGGGGGGGGGGGGGGTTTATCTGATTTGGGGTTGTACGGCCTACAATCCCTATGCATCAGCCACCGGAACAAAGCGGACAAGGCGAGGTCTGTCTAGTCGTGCTTGGAGGTCCACAAGAAGCGCATGCAGCCTGCAGCCTCGGGCGCGCGGGTTGTTTTCTCATTTCTTTTTATCGTATTAAAAGGTATTTATTAATTATATTTTTTCTTGGGGTGGGGGAGGGGGGGGGGGCGGGGGGGCGGGGGGCTGGGCTTCGGTCTGCTTATGTGTGGCAGATTTTCCTTCTCACATGTTTTCTTCTCATAGGTTTTCACATGTCTTCACAGGTCTTCACAGGTTTTCACAGATCTTGACAGATCAACGACTAGTCTGTGAGGATCTGTGATGTTCTGTGATTGTTAAGTTCTATTGCTGGCAACCCATGCATGACCTGTCCAGCTGTTTGGGTTCATGTGTCCATCATCTACCAACCAACAATGGCCTGCTCCCTGGCCATAGCCTTAACCGCCTTAACATCTCATTGTCCATCATCTGCCCTCCCATGGCTTCAACACTCATTTCACAGCTCTACGTTTGCATTTCCCAGCCTTAGAAAACCTGGCGAAATCAGTGACGAGAACCTAGGACCTAGCTGAGAACATAGCACCCCGGTGGGGGAAAGTGTGGGTCCCCGAAGACCTCATGAAAGGATCCAGATAGATCCCCGTGCTCAATCGTAGCAGAAGGCGGTAAAATGGGGATCGATCCACACACACACACACACCCATGCACGAACGCACGCACGCACGCTCTGATTCGCTCTCCCTCTCTCTCTCTCTCTGTCTCTCTTTGTCTCTCTTTGTCTCTCTGTTTCCCCGGCTTTCATTAAGAATCTGTACCCCATAACACATATACACTGATCAGCATGACTGCGGCGCACTGTACGCACTCACCAAAGCCTTCTGACGAATCCCGCGTCCTACTATGTTCAGGTGCAGGCTTCGGGGCATGAGGGCCCCATCCTTATAAACGCCAAATCCGCAAATCTTGCAAAACCACAAACTCCAAAGATTAAATTATCCCAATCCATCGCCGGCTGGAAAAACCAAGGTATTTCGCTTGAAACTACCAATCGAATCGACTTCGCTTGAAAATGCCATGTGCACGTGGTAGATTCTAGTGGACCCCCGCTAAACCCTAAACCCTAAACCCTAGACCCTAAACCCTAAAGCCCCTTGAAGCGTTTCTTCGCGAGAAAACAACGGGGACACTCCACAGACCCCTCGTGCGGAGAGGCCCCGCCACCCTGGCAACATTCGGAGCTTCCGCAGCTTGGCTGGGTTTGTTGTTTTGTGAGTTTAGGGTTTTGGGTTTAGGGTTTAGGTTTTGGGCTTCGGGTTTAGGCTTTAGGGTGGGTTTAGTTGGAGATTGCAGTTTGGGTGAACTTGCACTGGGTTGGACTTCATATGAACTTCTTTGAACAATTCCTGCGATGTGTCCAGCATCCGTTAGCAAACATGACAAAGATCTGGGACCGTGGCTTGGGGTCTCGAGGGTGCAGGGTAACCCCAAACCCCTAAACCCTAAACCCTAAACCCTAAACCCTAAACCCTAAACCCTAAACCCTAAACCCTAAACCCTAAACCCTAAACCCTAAGCCCTAAGCCCTAAGCCCTAAGCCCTTTCCAGCCCATGCCCTTTCGCATGCCCAGGCCGCCTCCCACCTCGGCCCCTGCCGCGACCCCGAAATGGGTGCCAAGCTCAGCACGTTTGCACTTGTAAGGTTTAGGGTTTCGGGTTTCGGGTTTAGGGTTTAGGGTTTAGGGTTTAGGGTTTAGGGGTTGTAGGTTTCGCGTCGGTGTTATGTTCATATGCTGAACCCAAAAGGCTAGAATGCTGAGCCCTACACACAGGGCTGGAGGTTTGCTGGCTCAGTAAGCACGGATGGCAGCTTTTGCATGGGGATTTGTGGGTTTGGACTTCGGGACAAAGAAAACACGCAACGATCCTAGAAAGCGACAGGCCACGGGTCACCGAGTTAAGTATCCTTGTTCTCCAACAGGTATCTGATTCCACGCGGCCTCCTTTCCCCCTTCACGCCCCCTCCCCGCCGAAATCCTTGTCTCAGATTTACACGTCTGAGTCCTTGGATTCAGCTATGTGAGGATGATGGTCATACTTACCGTCAGCAGTCCGCTTTAGCCCTTTTTTGATGACACTCAAAACTTCACACCCTGACCCCCCGACCCACCCTAAGACGTTCGCCCTGGGACGATGATGGGGCCCCAGATGATGTAAGGTCCCTCCGTGAGCGAAAGAGCGGCTCCGCAGGGTGTTTCGACCTTGGGGTCTGTGTCCCAGCAACCGAATACCTACACCCTAACACCCCTCAAAAGGCCATGAGTTGGGGTTTAGGGTTTAGGGTTTAGGGTTTAGGGTTTAGGGCTTAGGGTTTAGGGTTTAGGGTTTAGGGTTTAGGGTTTAGGGTTTAGGGTTTAGGGTTTAGGGTTTAGGGTTTAGGGTTTAGGGTTTAGGGTTTAGGGGTCTGGAGTCTAGAGCTTTAGGCCTTCCAGCAGTTCCAAGCCTTGGAAAGCCCTGAAGATGCTTCGCAAGATTCTCACCGGACCTGGTTGTTTAACTTAACACCCATGCAGCTTTCAAAAGGGGTTTAGGGTTTAGGGGGAACTAGGGCTTAGAGCTTAGGGCTTAGGGCTCAGGGCTCAGGGCTTAGGGTTAGGGCTTAGGGCTGAGGGTTTAGGGCTTAGGGTTTAGGGCTTAGGGCCCCAGCCGATTGAGAGTCTCATCCTTCCAGGCCTTTTCAAGGCCTACCGCCCAAAGCCCAGAAGG